CCATATCCTTCCATACCAGTCACTGACAGTTTTTACAGCATACATGACAACTGAGGGGCATGCCTGCTTTCTTTTCTATCAATAAGATAGGACACCAGACCTCCTTCCATTGGAAATCAACATTGTTGAAAAACAACCCATATAGTACCTTAAAAAAGGTTCAACAATTTTTCAGTACTTTAAGAAAAAAAATAGACATTATGACCATTATGCTAGCATGGATAAGAAATCTGTAATGGCCTAGTAGCACCATCTGTAATAGACAGATACACCTTCCAGCTATCCCGGTCACTCTTCATCAAAAAAGACCTAATAGAAATATAATAGCTTGTGTTTAAAATGCTGATTTAATATCACTTTGACCTGAGCTGCATCATCAAGTTATCTTTTTTAACTTACATGTGATAGGATCGTTACTGTTCTGGAGAAATAAAGTGCCTGCCGCACCTCCCTAACAACCCAATTCTTCCCAAGCATGCAGAAAAACAGTAATTTGCCTACTGTGCCAAAACATGAGACAGTTAACTGTTCAAACACTTGATCAGTCTCTTAAAATCTGCATGTCCAGGAGTGGATTTTTTAAAAGTACATTTTATTCACTGCAATGGAAAACCACACTTATTGATGTTTAATAGTAAAGTATCTTTTATGTGTTATAGTCTATACAAAATGCAGCATTGCATTAACTTCAAAGGTGGCAAGGCGGTTAAAATTAAAGGTTCATGGGATATGACATGCAACACAGCATTAAAAATATAAGACTGAACAATCCTACCGCCTTAGCAGGATCCTTTTATGGTTCTTCATTATAGGGGAAATTCTTAAAATGCAATCCAGCAATCGTAAGTGTAAGTAAAGCTTTTAAAATCTTATCACAACATGCAATTTAGAAAGCTAATCATCAAAGCATTTTTTATGGGAACAGAAGGGGGCTTTACTTATTAAAATCAATACAACTCACTTTAAGATATCACATTTGTGCTGTTTTTAACTCCTAAAATGTGCTCCTTACATTTATCAATTTCTGAAAAAAAGACCTAAAATCATACCACAGGTTCATAAGAGTCACTCTCGCCCCCAACCCCAAACCATCCCAAGACCTCGAAGTCTTGTTATGATCAAGGCAGCACTCAGTCTGCCTTGAAAGAACATGCTAAAAAGCAAGTGACATGGAAGCAGCAAGTTTTATACTGAAAACTGGCTGTGAACACTGCCATTCCCTGACAGCGGCTAAAGAACTTATTCAGGTCCTCACTACTCTCTGGGTCTCAACGTGTGGTCCTGGAAACTCTAACAGCAGCATCACCAGGGAACTTGTTACAAATGAAAATTCACTGGCCCACCCCAGACCAACTGAATCAGAAACTCTGGGAATGGGGCCCAGTAATTTGTGATTTAACAAGCACTACAGGAGATTAGGATGTAGTACTCTTAAAATTCAAGAACCACGCCTCCTCAAGCTTCAGTGTGCATAAGAATCACCTGGGGAGCTTGTTAAAATGCAGATTCTAACTCAGCTGGTCTGAGGTGGGGCCTGAGAGCCTCCATTTCGAACAAGTTCCCAGGTGATATCCTCTGCAGACCACACTGCAAGTGTTTCCCAAACCGGTCGTTTAACAAAATTACCCAGGGTGCTCATAAAATACGGGTTCCCAGGCACCACCCCAGACCAAATTAATACAGACTTCAGGAGAGAAAGGCCTAGTTGAATACAACCAGTATTCCATTTCAGCTGCACATTAAAATCACCTGGGGAGCTTTTAATAATCCTAATGCCCAGTCCCCATTGAAGTCCAATCTCGGGTTGGGACCCAGGCATTCATATTTTCAATAATTCCCCAGTGATTCCAAGTGCAGTCAAGGTTGAGAACAACTGCTCTGCAGTCTAACTAGCTCAACACCTGGTGCAGTGGATCCCTTTACAGTAGCAAAAGGTTTCCTATAACACAGCTATCTGGGTTCCCACATATAAATCTAAGAGCTCTGACTCTGAACAGTAAAATGCACCTAAGTCATGTTTTTATCATGTGTTGAACCTTATTTCTGCGGGCAAGTGTGCCTGTGCTGCTGAGACCAAGGATTTAGTAATACATTCCTAACTCTGAACACAAATGTTACCTGTCTTCCATTAAATAAGTTTCCAAGCTCTAGCTCCTTTGCAAGGAGCTAGGTGTTCCAAGAAAGCAGGAACCATGAAGAATCTGTATCCATACAGCCTGTTCACATATTGATATCACCCCCCCAAAAAAAAAAAACTTGAAACAGAGATCACTGGAAGTTTCTAATAATGTTTCAGAGTGGAAGGGTAACTGATGAATCTAGGACTTCTAAACCTATAACAGACAGATTTCACCAGTTACAGACATTTTGACAGAAAGGTCCTGGGAAGGGATAAAAACGATGTGCTTGTACACATGAGCATCTGAAACTGTCGAAAGCAGATCTTCTGGTGGACAGAGATAAGACCTGACACCCCACTGTTCATGATATGATACTAATAACTGTGAGGGGGAAAAAAGCAATGTGTCTATTTGTGTCTTCTAACCCCCAGCACAAAGTCACACTAATAAGTACACAATATGTACTATTAAATATGTAAAACAGAAAAAATGCATAGTGGTTACCAAGGCACTGTCAAGTAATTAGTTATTTTACTCCCATAATCAAACACTGCTTTAAAATGTTTTCCTGAATTTTCCACAGTACACCTCAAAAATGATGTTAAGATAAATGAAAACAAGATGCAGTTCTTTTTCCACTTAAGTGAACTTTCATTCTCCCCTTGGCCATGTTCAGTGTCTTTTCTAAATTAGTTTTTTGTAGAATACACAACACATTCAATGCCTGCTAAATGATAATAAATTATTATTCTTCCACCATCGTTTCAACATATCCACAGTGATCAAAGTATGTCTTACTTAATTCCATGAAAAGGAAATCCAGTGGATGAGGTATTAGAAGAGAAATAATACCTCAATAAGTGTTCAAAGTAGCACTACTACATGACATTTTCAAAAGCATTTTCTATATGAACTGGTCAAGCTCACTTTCCTTTTAAAATTCTTGTTATAGTAATTCAGTTAACCCAAACTCACTTTAAAATGTGTGAAAATAGCACCTCCTGAAAGTGTGTTCTCATATGCTTTGGAGCAATGGAGCGTGAATAGTAAAGCAGCCTTTGCCAAACTCATGTAACTAGACATGAGTGAATTTTGGAGTCCCATGACTTTGCAGAGCCAACCTATATATCATCCCAGGATCAGCTTTTAATGTATCAGACATGCAAGAGAAGACAGAAAAGTCACAAATAAGTGACTCACATTGGTAAATATTTCAACAGATTTTTTTAATGGCAGTCTTTTCAAATGAATTTTACTTCTTAACAAAAAAAAAATTGGCTAAGTAAAGGTGTGGGTTTAGGATTTAAGCTCCTAACTTAAAACTATGAAATTTATAAAGATATTTAATTTATTTGAAAAAGTGTCAGTATAAATGCCCTTTCATGCATTTCTTATGAACCAATGCCCAAAGACGAACCAAGTCTGAAAGTAAATGCACAGACCATAGAAGAGCCATACAAAAGTATAGACATTTAAAGTGTCAAAGCTAAAGAAAACAAACCATACAAAATTACAATTTCCAGGACTCTTTATTGCAATTTCCACTTTACATATTAATTTAATACTTTCAGTCTAGGCAGAAGTGTTTATACTTATCCAGTAGTAGTATAATCCCCTAATTTCACAAAGTGAAAAGAAGCAATTTATAAAGAACATCAATTCAGGTATTTATGATATGGGGACAAGGGGCAATTTTCTTAGCTAGCAAAAGGGTTGATGCTTTTCAGTATAAATTTTTCTGAAATTTTTCTCTATTATCTTGTTGATGCTAAGTATTCATAATAAAAACAATTGTGTTCTTTGTCATTCTGCCATTCCTTGGGCTTTACATTCTGTCTAGCATTTAACTCAAAAAAGTCAATTTACAGTCCGTTTACACGTTAAAACACAAAACCATATGCTCCATCGCCCACACATCCAAATGGACAGGGATCAGAATTAACCTGGCTTTTAGCTGTAACAGTCCTATTTTAAACAATTTCGACCACACACTTGAAGGGTGAAATAACTAAAAGTACAAAACCAAAGGAAACCATAAAAATTTCTACACAGTGTTGGGATTAACTATATCTCAAACCGTCAAGCCTAACATAGATTTCTTAAAAGTGAAATCGGCACAAAAGTGAATGCACGCTTAATGTACAAACTGACAGTGGCTCTATGGGGACAGCTCTCTTTGAATGAGCTATTACCCAGACGGTGGAAAGAAAAAAAAAAAAAGTCTCACTCAAATGAGAGAGCCGGCGTTGTGATTCACTAGAAACACATTTTAATGGGTTTGTTCGCATAAAAATAGGTAGTAAGGGAAAATGTATTTTTAAAAACCCTCCTCCCTTCCCAGGACACAAGGAAACCCAAAAGAAAAAGATAGGTAACCTCATAAGCTCCGGAGCTAAGTTCCATCACTAGCAGAACAGAAGTTGGATAGTTGCTATTTCCCCCCTTGCAAGGAAATAGTAACTCTTCGTGTGCAAGGCGGGAATACTGGCGGGGCTTTCACCGGGGGTAATGGAAACCAAAGTGAGGAGAGGTCAACACCTTGAGTAATTCGGATCTCCAAAACTGGGGCGGTGAGGGAAAGGGGTGGCGAAAGAGGGAAGGAAAGGGTCAAAACTCCTCGAAGTTCTCGCAAAGAGAAAGCGAACACCTCTGGGGGCCAGTGAGCCACCTCTTGAAGCAGCAACCCTGCTTCAAGTGTGAGGTGCTTCACTCTGAGGGGGGAAAGAGCGGGGTGCCCTGACTTAGGTCGAGTGGCTCCAGGGACTAAGCAGCGAGAGGGGCAGGGACAGCCGCTGGCGGGGAGGCGGGCTCGTACTTTGCCTCAACTCTGAGCTCCATCCTGAGCGCAAGGGAGAGGGCGGCGGAGGGCACGGTACTCACTAGGGCTCGTTGGTGAACCGAGGGGTCCGGGGCTGCTGGTATCCGTACAGGTGACAGTAGAGCACATCGAAGCAAAAGCAGCACATCTCCGCTGACACCACCATCTTCCGGGAGCCGGGCGATGAGGAGGCGGCGGACGATGAGGAGGGCGAAGAAGAGGTGGCGGCGGCCGGGGTGGAAAGTAGGGTCCCCACTCCGCAGCTCGGAGGTGGCGACAGGGAAATCCCCCCGCCGCCGCCGCCGCAGCCCTGGGGGGGAGAGAGGGTACAGCCGCTGCCGCTACCTCCTCCGGTGAGACCTCCCAGTCCGTTGAGCCGCGTACCGGCGCCTCCTAGTCCCAGCTCGCCAGCTCGGCACTGGCTCTCTCCGCTGCAGTGGGAGGAGGAGGAGGCGCCACCACCGCCACCCGAGCCAGAGGGGGGCGAACAGGACAGTTTCTGCTTCTTCACCCCGCAGCAACCCGCCGCCATCTTGGAACAGTCTCCCCCACGCAGCGCTTCCGACCCATAAGTGAGGCGAGCTGGCGGCGGGGGCGAGCACGCTGCGGACCCGGCCTCCGGGGGCGCGCCAAGGGCTCGCTGGGCGCGTGCGCGTCGCTCTCCGCCCGGCGGCCTGGCCACGCGCGCACTCCCGCCTCGGAGCGCGCACCACGTTTTCGCGGCTCTGCCCCTCGCGCCTGTCCCGCCGGCCTCGCGCCTCCTCCAAGCCGCCGCCTCAGCTCCGCGGCCCGCCGAGGGGGAAAGACGGGAAGCCCAGTGGAAAGCAAGGAGAGGGAAAGGAGAATGAGAAAGCGGGGAGTGGGGGCGAAGGGAGGAGGTGGGCACGCCCGGGGAGGAAGAA